TTTCGCCACAAGTGGTTTCTTCAGTCCTAGTGGACTAGGATTTAAGAAGTTACTTGTGGCGAAAAGTATCCCCAATAAATGTCTAGAACCATGCATGTGTGTATTTACATACTGTCGGTATCACCATACTTTTCAAGGCATGGGATAGCCTTGCTGTAGTGTTCCTCCGTTCTTATGTTCTTAAAATGACTGTTTACCATCTTAACTCAAGCAGCATGGAAGTACATCAACCATGTTCAATGTCAACCTTCCTGGGCTCTTCCCAGTCTGGCTATCGTATTAATTATTTCTCTGTACCTGTTATGGGACTATGTGTTGGGTCCCATAATCCCATAACAGTACCATATTTGTCTGATGCATCTCTAGATAACCTGTTTATCCACGAGAAGATTAATTTTTATATGTAATAACTTTCCCTATATTAATTACTAATAATTATTTATATTAATATTCACTATTATTATCACAAAATATCGTTAAACCTGCACGTGTCATGCAACACCTCCGCTCCCGTACAATGATTACAAAATTCAACATCTTCATCATGACAAAACTGATTTTATACAAGACCCCCGCAGTCAGGAAACCTTGATGACTTAAAATGGTACGTGTGTGCACTTCTGATGAGTGTGCCTTGCTGTATCCAAGTAACTGCTGGCAACACGGCCCCAGACTGTGGCTTACTGCAAGCATTGCAAAACACGCATGGACAAAATATGGTCTCCATTCACAGATATGAGTTTCCTTTGAGAATTAGGAAACGCTACGCTCATGGGACAAAAAAAAAAAAGACTTAAAACTCACAAAGTGCTCAGGCCATTTAAACATGCTTACCTTTCTTTTCCTGGTTACAAACTTTTTTTCCATGACTAGCTTACTTCAGTCCTTCCCCCACACCATTCTTGCCGGCGATTTTATGACCAATTATTATTATAATCAAGGGGGAAGCGCTAAATCCGGAGGATTATACAGCGCCTGGGGGGGGATGTGGAAGGCATTCAGGCTTAATTGGGGGAACTTGAGCACAGATCCAATTCCCTAATCAAGAGCCCCTCACCAACATCAAGGAACCTTCCTTGAGGGGATTTTATGACCTAACAAATTAAAATTTTTGTACATCGTACAACTCCTGTGAATCTCACTGTTTACGTGAGTAACGTGCAGTGTCTAACATCACGATTGTCCCTACAAGATTTTACCTCGTCGAATTTACAGGCCGAGATGTTACATTACCCAAGTTTCAATTTAAAGGCCAGACCTACCTAAGGTATACTCCCATTCGCCAGGATGCGATCCGCACCAGCTGACTACCAGCCAAGAACCTATTTACTGGGAGGTGGAAGAAACTCCGAGCTAAGACAAAATAAAGGACCAGTGCTACTTTGTTCCGAAGCCTTTACTTTGGACTTCCACTCTCTATGCGGAGCATTTGACACTGCCCCAGCTAGAGGCACTGAACCAGAGCTCCGGGAGTGTTTTGAGTTCTTTTTCTCAAGAGAACGGAGAAGCGAACTGTGGCTATGGTACAGGATAGTGCCAAAGAGGGGCGGACCACAGACTGCAGACCATTTTTTTTGGGGGGAGGGGGGGATTTATAGCAGCTTCCCTGTTCAGACACACCATTAGAGCTAGTCCCAGCAGGTGGAGGTGTAGGCAACCTTTTCAAAGATAGGTGGTGTGTGACACTTTGGGAAAGCATGATGCTCCTCTAACCCTGTGCTTCACCAAGCCCTCATCCCTTGCAGACAAACTACCATGGCGCCTGCACCACCCTACAGGCCACCTAGAGATAGCAATAGACGCAGGCAAACATAGCCGGTGGTTGACTGTACAGGTGGTAGGGTAACCGACAAGGTGACCTAAGGCTGGGTAGAGCGAATTCGAGGGATGGAAAGGGCTCTGTCCCACCGAGGACCCCACATTAGCTGGGGTGAAGCAGCTACAAGCAATGGCACAGGACCATCCAGGATAGAGGTACGACCTCCTGCTGGCCTCAACAAAGCCCCTCTTACCAACAATGACATATTGCAACAGCGCACTCTCCCTCCTGTGTAGCTCACATGCCCGTCATTAACTAAGTAGGAACCCCCACAGTTATGGTACTGCAACACTGGTATATGAGTGAGCGGTGTCAAAATTTTAGTCACATACTACACAGGTGTTTTGGGTAACTTATCACTTAGCCCTTTGATACCAAACTTCCGGTGGGGTTGCGATAAAGTATACAATGTCAAGATAGCTAGAACCCTGGACCAACGAAGGGACATAAATACGATGTCTCGGTAACAAAATGTATGTTGTTGAGAGTAGGCTGGGCAGATATTTTTGTTGGAGGGTTTGGGTTTGAGAGACACCTGCCCAATGTGAGCCGGTGAGCCTGCTGCAGTGTTCATTCAGTGTTCTTGTGAAAACGGCAGTATAATGCGATCCTTTATTGAGAAGGTTTTGCCCACACAGTGGGCTTAATCAAGCCACAAACAGATGAGCTTGCGACTTTATAAAACCTACTGTGTGGGCGAAGCGTTGTCAATATAAGATCGCAATATACTGCATTTGTGTTTTTATCCATCTTCTCGGTATTTTATACCATTTCTCCCCTTGATAATAATATCTAACAATCAAATATAAATCAGAGGGGATTTCAGAACCTCTGGTGTACTCTGATAATGTTACCTCAACACAAACCACTGAAAGACGTAGACAGAAGGAAGATATAAATAAATTATACAAGGGAAAAAACAGGAATAAGTAAAAGGTAATGTAAATAGGGTGCCGAGTGTATCTGACCAAAAAAAAAAACTCGAAACGATGGACTCAGGTTGAATAAATTCAAATTTTGATAGGATACAAATAAGTAAATGTTAGGAAATTAGAGCTATAGACTAGTGGAACAATCTGCCAAGTAGTGATCGAAGGTAGCACCTTGGGTATCTTTAAAAATAGGTTGGGTCTGAGGAAGACCTACCTAACATGGACCAACAGGCCCACTGTAGTCTTATGTAAAACACTGCTATTGGATGAGGCGGGCAACATGGCCCCGCCCACACATTACTGCCTCCTGAACCCCAATCAAGGCTGAGTGTTTGATCGTATCAAATTACCACTCCACGTAGTCGTATCCATTAACTACTCTGCACAGGACTGATAAAGACACTAACTAGCAAAACGTCACCACACTAAAGAAACCCAAACACTGCATATATTTCCATCTACCATCACCTGACCTCATTCTTCACAATAAGCACTGCTTTATTAGTCTCCGCATTATAATGACTGACAAAGCCCATAGTGTAGGGATTCTCAACTTTTCCTCCATCATTAACCCCCTCGGCTTAATGCATTTCTCCATTTACCCCCTTCCATACAAAAAAATTTATCATGAATGGACAGAAAAACAAGGTCGAAAAAAAAATTATTCTTGTTTTGCACAAAAATAGCATCAAACCTTTACCCCTTGCCATGTATTTTTACCCCCAAGGATTAAATTTACCCCTGGTTGAGAATCACTTCCTAGACCTAGTAGTAGTAATGTCTGAGGATCTCACTTTCAAGGATCACAACAGTGCCACGATCACAAGTGCAAAGAAAATGATAGGATGGATAATGAGAACGTTCAAAACGAGAGATGCCAAGCAAATGATGATCCTTTTCAAATCACTTGTTCTCGCTAGGCTGGAATACTGCTGTACATTAACATCTCCTTTCAAAGCAGGTGATATTGCAGATCTAGAGTGTGTACAGAGATCCTTTACTGCACGTATAAGTTCTGTCAAGCACCTTAACTACTGAGAACGCTTGGAATCACTTGACTTGTACTCGTTGGAACGCAGGAGGGAGAGATATATCATAATCTACACTTGGAAAATCCTGGAAGGAATGGTCCCGAATCTGCACACAGAAATCACTCCCTACTAAAGTAAGACTGGGCAGGCGATGCAAAATACCCCCAATTAAAAGTAGGGGCGCCATTGGTACACTAAGGGAAAACACCACAAGTGTCCGGGGCCCAAGACTGTTCAACAGCCTCCCACCAAGCATAAGGGGAATTACCAATAAACCCCTGGCTGCCTTCAAGAGAGAGCTGGACAGATACCAAAAGTCAGTGCCCGATCAGCCGGGCTGTGGTTCGTACGTTGGACTGCGTGCGGCCAGCAGTAACAGCCTGGTTGATCAGGCCCTGATCCACCGGGAGGCCTGGTTGTGGACCGGGTCGCTGGGGCGTTGATCCCCGGAATAACCTCCAGGTAGTGGGTGAAACATTTCCTCAATAAAATATCCTATAGAGTGCACACGTCTCTGCCCCACAACTGTGCACTAACAAAACAAAAAAATTAATCCTTAAAATAGGTATTTATAATAAAGTGTATATCCGCAGAGATACACACCGTATATACATACGTACGTGTATATACCTTGTGTGCAGTGAAGAAAATGAAATACTAGCGGGCGTTTCTTGTTTAAATTCTGAACACTTGCCTCAACTTCCATGTTACTATAAATGGTATAAAATACCCAGAAGTTGAAGAGAGACTTGTGCACAATGCTTATTTATTTTCGACAATATAGATAAGAAAGAGTTGCGTATGTCTTGCTCCAACTTTGTGGAAGTAATGTAAATGAAATTTTTTATAAAGTTAAAGTGTATTTGCTAAGACATTTGCTTAGCGTCAGTCAAAATCAATGTCAAACCCACATTGATTATAACTAAATGTCTACTCCACCTACCAGTCAAGTCATCGATCTACTGTATATCTACCATACAGCAATGTCTAATTAACCCATTTTAAAACCCACCAATGGAAATAAACCCCTTTGTTTAACTTGACTGGGATATCCCAGGCTAGACTATCTCATCTTCGTAAACTGTCATCAATGTATACATGCCTGACATGACATTTATGTACTCTCAGAACCATTGTACTACACAGTGTAACCTTGCGTAGTGTGCCAAAATTAAACCTTATTTTAAGTCAGTTACCCAGACTTGCTTGCTTGCTTACCTCAGAAAACTGTTCCCTTCAGAAGGGTCTTCGTTAATGGTCCACTCGTCATCCAGGTCTCTAAGTATGACTGAAATCCTAGAAGCACTGCTGTGTTTGTTGCGAGACACTCTGGCCATGGCATTTTTAATCACCGAAAATGGTTTATTGGCGTTTTTCCTCTTGAGGTTGTCGACGCCTATCCAGTCAGTGGTTGAGCTACGATCGTATAAACCCTCGTTATCGTTCCCGTCGCGCCCTATGGTGTTAAGGGACTGATAAGAACGAGATAAACCTGCTCGAATTGAACGCAGTGATGCCATTTTTTTTTTTTTTTTGCAAACTACCCAGTTATTTACAACGGGAGATGATTTCCTGTACACTTGTTAATTCACTTTTATCTTTTTCAAACTCTGATTTTGTTGCATGTAGTTGAATTTATGGGCAGTTTGACCAACTTCACTTAATTAGCATCATTATGTGGATCCGCACTGATAGTTAAAAAGCTTAACACAAACACAGCTTCGAAAAACAAACCTTTTTCTGTATCAATATGAAATACAGGACTAAGAGATGATGGCCATAAACAATGGCTAAAAGACGGGCACGGGTCTTCTTAAGAGGACAATAATAGCAGTATAAGACAACAGAAGCCGCCAAGCACGTTAACAGAAGCAGCAACAGTCAAGGAAAGTGTAAGCAACCCCAGACCGTCACCCCACCACTGACACCCAGGCTAAACTTCCCACCTTGCTCTATACCTGCCGCCGTCCCTCACACACACACCTGGACACACACACACACACACACACACACACACACACACACACACACACACACACACACACACACACACGAACAAACATCCACGTGCGGGAGGGACTTAACACGCACACACAGACGCACACACAGACACACAAACGTACACCAATCCCACACAAACCACTTTCCAGCCAATATTCACCACTTTTCTCAACCCAACAACACCTGCCAACTCACTTACCTTATCTTACGAAGCGTTTCTCTCGTTAAAAGGGGTAAAAATTCACTAAAACACTTAAAAACCCGCGATAAAACAGGCAGAGAACAAAAGCGTGCACTTGTTTGAGGTGTTGGTTTACAAATATCAGCTGAGGTTAGCGGTAGTGGCGGCACCTGTGGGCCGGACACTAAACTCTCACTCTCTCTAAACTCATCTATTTATCCCTGGTTTTCCTTTACGCTGCATTATTCATCGTTTATTTTTGTATTACAAATATGCCAAAATAATGCATATATAACCCGCACGTGGAGAAAGGCGTTCATGACGAAGTTTGGGTCCGATTTGGACTGTGACAGTGGTCTAAGTCGGACCGAAATGTCGTTTTAAGTTACCTTCTATACGAGGCTTATTACTGCATTGTTCTGGTCACGTTATTGTGTCTTTGTTCTTCAAGTCTCAGTAAATTGTATAAAATATTACAAGGACCCCAATGGAAACAAGTCACTGACTTTTTGAGTTATCCTGGGTAATTTACACTCATGTTAAACTATGTATGATAACTACACTTAAGTGTACCTGTACCTTAATAAACGTACTTACTATGTGATACATAAAATAGGAAGGTAGGGTTTGTCAGGAAACAGGACACGTGTTTCCTGACGCGGAGTAGATGATGACCCGCCGCTGGAACTTTTGGTCATCTGACCAAAGCCTTCGGCTGGCTTACCGGTCCACCCCTTTAAAAATTATAGTCATAGTTATTTAACCAATTAGCTTCATACAGTAGGAAAATAAGCGAAATAATACATCAGGGAAATCGAGTCGACTAAATCTGTACTTAAACCAAAATTATAATTACACATAGTAACCTTCATTTATTTATTCTTTCGTTAATATGCGAAAAATTTCTTCCAATGATATATACATGACCAAATAAATAAATACATAAACACTTCATTTGTATTAATATTATTTTTCTGTCTTTTTTGTTTTTCAAGACTGAACCTGACAATTCTGAAATATTCTCAACACGTTAATTGTTGGAAACAACTGATCCAAGTTTCTCAGAACTACTCCTCCCTAACCCCCCCCCCCTTCAAGGGAGGTTCCTTGACGCTGGTGAGGGGTTCTTGTTCTAGGGAATTGGATCTGCTCTTCGGTTCCCTGAATTCAGCATGAATACCTTCCATCCCCCTCCCACATGGGCTGTATAATCCTACGGGTTTAGCGCTACCCCATGATAATAATCCTCCTTACCCCATCCTCTCCACTCCCCTTCCCCTTTCCACCATTTTCTCTATCCCCCCCCCACCCCCCGAGGACTATTAAGGTTTCCTACAATCAAGATTATTATTACATTTTTATATTCAGAAAATGCGCCAAACCCGAGGGAAGGGAAGTAGTGTGACTATTCCATCCACGGTATTGTGACACTGTTCCAGCCATGGTATTGTGACACTGTTCCAGCCACGGTATTGTGACATTGTTCCAGCCATGGTATTGTGACATTGTTCCAGCCATTGTATTATGACACTGTTCCAGCCATGGTATTGTGACACTGTTCCAGCCATGGTATTGTGACACTGTTCCAGCCACGGTATTGTGACACTGTTCCAGCCATGGTATTGTGATACTGTTCCAGCCATGGTATTGTGAAATTGTTCCAGCCACGGTATTGTGACACTGTTCCAGCCATGGTATTGTGACACTGTTCCAGCCACGGTATTGTGACACTGTTCCAGCCATGGTATTGTGACACTGTTCCAGCCATGGTATTGTGAAATTGTTCCAGTTTTTTTTTAATCACACTAATAAGCCTCACAGTGGAGGCTATTACCTCAACATTATTAGAGAACATGTCCAGGAAGATCAAAGCTCTTCTCTAAGCTCTAACTCCACATAACAGAGATTTCTTATTAGCTGTCCCTAGCATCCCCATGGTTACTCTTAATCCTCAGGCCATGAAACACTAGTGTAGCCCTAGGAGTCACCACTGTCATTGTCGCCAAACAAGTGTGTCTGTTGACAACATAACATTCTCATTTTACCACGTTGTTAGACTGAATTGTTACATTAACATTTTAAAAACATATATTTAACACATAAGCAATTAAAAAAAATATTGGCTGAACAACACTAGGAAAGATTCTCGTGTGAATGCGCTTCACACGCGATACGAGAACGGGTTGGTGTGGCAATGCGGCAGCAGTCAAATTGTACTAACATTTATCAAGTTATGCTCTTCAAGGTGACTTCTAATAATGTCAGCTATAATTGATTCTAGTAACTTGCCCACTATAGATGTCAGGCTTATTGGACGGTAATTTGAAGGAACGGACTTATCCCCTGATTTGAATATAGGAACCACATTAGCCAACTTACACAACTCTGGCACAACACCGGTAAGGATGGAAATTGTTCCAGCCACGGTATTGTGACACTGTTCCAGCCACGGTATTGTGACACTGTTCCAGCCACGGAATTGTGACTGCTCCAGCCATGGTATTGTGAAATTGTTCCAGCCACGGTATTGTGACACTGTTCCAGCCATGGTATTGTGACACTGTTCCAGCCACGGTATTGTGACACTGTTCCAGCCACGGTATTGTGACACTGTTCCAGCCACGGTTTTGTGACACTGTTCCAGCCATGGTATTGTGAAATTATTCCAGCCACGGTATTGTGACACTGTTCCAGCCACGGTATTATGACACTGTTCCAGCCACGGTATTGTGACACTGTTCCAGCCACGGTATTGTGACACTGTTCCAGCCATGGTATTATGACACTGTTCCAGCCACGGTATTGTGACATTGTTCCAGCCACGGTATTGTGACACTGTTCCAGCCACGGTATTGTGACACTGTTCCAGCCACGGTATTGTGACACTGTTCCAGCCACGGTATTGTGACACTGTTCCAGCCACGGTATTGTGACACTTTTTCAGCCATGGTATTGTGACACTGTTCCAGCCATGGTATTGTGACACTTCCAGCCACGGTATTGTGGCACTGTCCCAGCCATGGTATTGTGACACTGTTCCAGCCACGGTATTGTGACACTGTTACAGACACGGTATTGTGAAATTGTTCCAGCCACGGTATTGTGACACTGTTCCAGCCATGGTATTGTGACATTGTTCCAGCCACGGTATTGTGACACTGTTACAGCCACGGTATTGTGACACTGTTCCAGCCACGGTATTGTGGCACTGTCCCAGCCATGGTATTGTGACACTGTTCCAGCCACGGTATTGTGACACTGTTACAGACACGGTATTGTGAAATTGTTCCAGCCACGGTATTGTGACACTGTTCCAGCCATGGTATTGTGACATTGTTCCAGCCACGGTATTGTGACACTGTTACAGCCACGGTATTGTGACACTGTTCCAGCCATGGTATTGTGACACTGTTCCTGCCACGGTATTGTGACACTGTTCCAGCCACGGTATTGTGACACTGTTCCAGCCACGGTATTGTGACTCTGTTCCAGCCATGGTATAGTGAAATTATTCCAGCCACGGTATTGTGACACTGTTCCAGCCATGGTATTGTGAAATTATTCCAGCCACGGTATTGTGACACTGTTCCAGCCACGGTATTATGACACTGTTCCAGCCATGGTATTGTGACACTGTTCCAGCCATGGTATTGTGAAATTGTTCCAGTCACGGTATTGTGACATTGTTCCAGCCACGGTATTGTGACACTGTTCCAGCCACGGTATTGTGACACTGTTCCAGCCACGGTATTGTGACACTGTTCCAGCCACGGTATTGTGACACTGTTCCAGCCACGGTATTGTGACACTGTTTCAGCCATGGTATTGTGACACTGTTCCAGCCATGGTATTGTGACACTTCCAGCCACGGTATTGTGGCACTGTTCCAGCCACGGTATTGTGACACTGTTCCAGCCATGGTATTGTGACACTGTTCCAGCCACGGTATTGTGGCACTGTCCCAGCCATGGTATTGTGACACTGTTCCAGCCACGGTATTGTGACACTGTTACAGACACGGTATTGTGAAATTGTTCCAGCCACGGTATTGTGACACTGTTACAGCCACGGTATTGTGAAATTGTTCCAGCCACGGTATTGTGACATTGTTCCAGCCATGGTATTGTGACACTGTTCCAGCCATGGTATTGTGAAATTGTTCCAGCCACGGTATTGTGACACTGTTACAGCCACGGTATTGTGAAATTGTTCCAGCCACGGTATTGTGACATTGTTCCAGCCATGGTATTGTGAAATTGTTCCAGCCACTGTATTGTGACACTGTTCCAGCCATGGTATTGTGAAATTGTTCCAGCCACGGCATTGTGACATTGTTCCAGCCATGGTATTGTGACACTGTTCCAGCGATGGTATTGTGAAATTGTTCCAGCCACGGTATTGTGACATTGTTCCAGCCATAGTATTGTGACACTGTTATAGCCATGGTATTGTGAAATTGTTCCAGCAACGGTATTGTGCCATTGTTAAAGCCACGGTATTGTTACATTGTTCCAGCCATGGTATTTTGACATTGTTCCAGCCATGGTATTGTAACATTGTTCCAGCCATGGAATTGTGCCATTGTTCCAGCCACGGTATTGTGCCATTGTTCCAGCCATGGTATTGTGACATTGTTCCAGCCATGGTATTGTGACATTGTTCCAGCCATGGTATTGTGCCATTGTTCCAGCCACGGTATTGTGCCATTGTTCCAGGCACGGTATTGTGACATTGTTCCAGCCACGGTA